AGGCCCCTGGGACTTGTTCAAAGCACTTCCATTCCTACCTTTCACAACACTAAATGGAGCAAAGAACTAAGGCAACAAGGAATATGCAGCAAGTACAGGAGGGGATGGTGCCCTCCTTCATGTTGCATCTCAAGGAACAATCATACCACCCGCGAGCGTGATTTCATGAGATCTCAAAGCAAGCAGCATGAGGCACTGCCAGATGGAGGAGAGGCTGCCTTGGAAAATTCAAGAGCTATGGGTATTGACATTGGTTGTTTTGCAGCAGTTTCTCTTCAGCAGGCAAAATGACAAGAGAAAAAAGACTCCCAAACTCAGTGACTGTCTTGCCAGAGTTCCTGAGATTGTTTATTTCATATCATGCAAAGGAAAAACACAAGGAGCATTCTTCCACTGCAGCTGTCATTTCACACTGGACACCACCCAGGTCCCCTGCCAAGCCTCACTGGACTCAGGTAAATTGCTGTGTCTCACCAGTGTACACCATGGGAAACCTACAGTGTATTTGTGGAAACTCGGGGCACCAGGAATAGTTCTGTGTCTGCTCTGGGGTGCCCTGACCCCCAGGGGAGCAGTGACTTTGACCCTCATTCATGGAGAAAGTTTCCCAGATTTCAAGATAGACCGGAATCCACAAAAGTGGGAAACAGATTATAGAGAGTAGTGTAGGTGCATCACTTGGTGAGAAATTGAGGTTTTGGGATTTTTAGTATGTTGTGGATGGAAGCAAGATGGAGGGCACAGGGTGTTGTCCTGGGTTTATTCTTCGTGCTTCTTCTTCCTTCTTCTCCATGGGTTTGGGTGGCATTTTGTAATTGGGCAGAAAAGTCCCCATTGCAGCTCTTTGGGATCAATTATTGGGTTAAAAGGGAAAATAATCCAGGTGTCAGCTCTTCATTGGAGAGTTTAGTCTTAAAAGACCTTGTAACAAGAGATTGTTGGGCATATTGTGCCTTCTAATGAAAAGCTGCCAAACTCACAGTGATGAGACTGTTTTACTGATAAGAAATAATAAACACCTGAGTCCAAACATGAACTATGGACTCAAGTCCTGACCCAGAGAAACCCTCAACTGGGACCCCCACATGTATTAAACTGGTTTTGCCTTCAACCCTGCCAGTGATGGGGACAGACTTGAGAATTAAAAACAGACTACGTGTGTCAACATCTGGTTGTGCAGATAACACCAAGAGCAGATATTCAGCTTTTATCATTGTGGGGCTCTCTCTGAGCATCAAGGACTGGTAGGAAAAGATGATCAAGGGGACAAAGAAGTTTTGTCAATAGGCTGGTCAGCCTGGTAAGGAGTGTGGTACAGTAGGGTTGGCAGGGGAGAGTGAAGAATTGGTGGAACAGGATGACAAGGAAGGGTTGTATGATAATGTGGATAAGAGAGAAATTCCATTTAAACGTGATAAAAAAACATTTTACTATAAGAGTGTTTGAACATGCAGCAGGTTGTCCAGAGAGTGCGGTGTCTCCATGTCTGCAGGTATATCAGACCTGACTGGGCATTCTCTGAGCAACCTGCTGTGAGTGACCTCTGACCAAGGGGTTAAGACTAGCCAAGCTCTAGAGGTGCCTTCCTGATTCAACCATTCTTTGATTCCACCCTTCCTCTCCCTCCACTCCCTCCTGCATCCCTTTCAAAGATATTTTTCCACAGTTTCCACACCAATGCAGCTCTCTCTGAGATGCAATCACAGAAAAAGTTGTCTGGCACTGCTACTTGGTGGTGTGGTTCAAATTCCAACAGCATTTTGTCTGTTAACATTTCCAGTGTGCTTGTCCTGGAGGAGATCACACTGGAAACAATGAGACCAGAGGCAGAGAGGAAAATGTACCTCGTTATTTCAGAATCCTCCATTAAAATGTAATCTGTTGTACGTGGTTATAATCTTTGACAACAAATGTTGGCCTTAAAGGGTAAGATTGAAAACCACGGGGAAATAACATGCAGTGAAAATGGCCAATAAAAGCATACCAATATCTACAAAGCCTTCAAGATCTAATATGATCTAATAAACAGAAGATCAACCTGGAATCTCAAACCGGATAAATCCTTGCCTCTGCTGCTCCCTTGGTTATTGAATGTCTCACAGGTCACTTGACCATTCTTTCCATAATCACTTATGCACTTATGCACCCAGTTCTTCTTGCTTATGCATCACTTATGCACCCAGTTCTTCTTGCTCCAACACCTAGATGTGAAATGGGGTTTAGAGCATTTAACTTCCCACTCTCTTTATGTGATTTCAGAATTAATTAGTTCTTTTGTGTACGAGGAATTCTAATGCTGCTGTTGCCATCTGAGCATCCTTTGCAGACAGTAAATACATTTTATAGGGATACTAACACAGTTTCTGTGCAGTTGCACAATGGATCTGTTGTCACCTACAAACAGTATCGTGGTTTGCATTGGATGTTTACACAGGAGAAGAATGATCCTTCTGGGGGCCATCCCTCACCAAGAAACCCTTGATGAAAATGTAGTTGCTGCTGGATTCTTAAGGGAATTCCACCCTGGTTTATAGTCACTCATTTCTCTCTCTGGCCAAATTCAGCAAAACCTGTGCCTCTGCACTTTGAGACATCCAAAACAAGATGTTCACCATCCTCCTGTTGGAACACAACAGTCGTGCATGGCAAAGTAGAAAACTGTTCATTATGTACAGCCTGCTTAAGCCAGAATCTCAAAAAGAAAGAAAGATAATTTTTTGCTTTCCCTTTATTAAGATATGAGAGTTGTCAGAGAGCATTCTAGATGTTTCATGGCTTACAAATGTGGCATCGTGTTACGAAGCATTGAGGCATTGCAAGGCACAGCTAGAACCAAGGCTGACGTCCCAGTATTCTGTATGGGTTCCCAGTGTATTCACCCACTGGATTGCACCAAGGCTGATGTGTGAGTATTCTGTATAGATTTCCAGTGTATTCACCCATTGGATTGCACCAAGGCTGATGTGTATTTTGTGTGGGTTTCCAGTGTATTCACCCATTGGATAGCACCAATGCTGATGTGTGGCTATTTTGTATGGGTTTCTGGTATATTCATCCACTGGATAGCACCAAGGTTGATGTGTGAATATTTTGTTTGGGTTTCCAGTGTATTCACTCACTGGAAAGCCCTTTTGCCTTTGGTTTTGCCAGATTCCCACAGACTGGGAATTGCTCAGGTAGACAATGAGTGATACCTCCCCATTCTAGCAAGTCCATTTCCCTGGTAGTTCTGGCAGGCCAACAACTGCAGGAAAAGCACCCAGTTGCTTTTTTCCTCGAGTAAATCTCCCTGAAATGCCAATGGGAACATTTTGCAGGGAAGGATGCAGAACAAAGCAAGTTTTCTTCATGCCATTAACACTGTTCTCAGTTCTGGACTCTGTAGTTCTACCTGTGCTGCAGAATATTGTGTCATTTTTCCAGGAGCTCATTGTTACCTGGAATGATTCACTTCCACAAGCTGTAACCACCCGGCCAGGCTGACAGAACTGTGAGGCACAAAGATCCAGACCCCAAGCTTCCAAGGCAGGGTAAATTGTACATACATGTACGAGGCCATGCTGAGAGTGAGGTGCAGCACAGGACAACGTGGTGGCCCCTTGGGTGCTTCACATGTCTGTCATGTGGAGTGCTGTAGAACTGAACAATACAGACCTTTTAATTAGAGGTGGAGACAGATACCTCATGCATCCATGCCAGAAATACCCAACCTGCCTGTTTTAAATAGATTTTCATCCATGGCCGAGCTCTTTAAACTTTCTCCTTTTATTAAAACAGCTCAACTGAGACCATTTTAATGTGCCCCCATCTAGTTATTTTATTGGAAAATATTAAAAGTGTGGACCAGGTGAAATTAAATGCTTTGAAAGCGGAAATCAAGCAGTACTTTTGGTTTCTAAAATCAGCTTCTCCTCCTTGTGCTGATGCACTTAATACTATCCCCTTATTTAAGAGGTATTGTTTGAGCTAAAATTGTGAGTAACTCTGTAATGGGCATGAACAAAGGAAATGATAAGTAAGAAAAATACAGTTCATTAGAGAGAGTGTGATTAAAAGGGGAAATGGGCTTACAAAGGCTTGAGATATTTTTCTCTGCTTATTAACCAATTTTCTTAGTGTTCCCTCCACCACATGCCAAGGGTAGATGGGAATAAAAGCAGGAGAAGCCAAAGACAGCACGTCCTCCCCCAGCTGCTGAGACCAGCAGGTGACCTGCAGGGAAAGGCTAGAAGGGAGGCACAGAACTGACCCTTTGTGTCTCAAGCACAGGTGTCAGGTCTCATGGGTGGGACAGACCAAGCTGCCACTTTCCAGACTGGCATGGCCCAGCTGAAGGCTTGGCCTGGGTGGTACAGCCTCCTGCATGGATCAGGAGCCAGCTGATGTCCTCTTGTGGGCAAGCAGAAGTCCATAACCAGCAGCGCCCACGTGCCTCTTACCAAACCAACCAGGCAGCCAACCTTCAAAATAATTCTGATTTCAGGTGAGAATGGCCAAGGGAAGAGGGGTTTTAGGAGAGTAGCTAGCAGGAAATGAACTCCTCAAACAAATATATTGCAAAACTTTTTATCCACTATTAAAGTAGCTCCTCCTGGATCCCACTGAAGAACTGTTTGTGATTTGGCTCCCATCTGGCACTAAGGTCATTTACAGAGTGTGGTATTTTTGGAGTCCCCCGTCGTGGGGAGGAAAGACGAATCTGACTCCATGTTCTTAGAAGGCTAATTTATTATTTTATGTACTTATATTATAGTGAAGAATGTTATACTAAACTATACTAAAGAATAGGGAAAGGATACAGACAGAAGGCTAAAAGATAATAATAATAAACTCGTGACTCTCGTCTCAGAGTCCAGCACAACCTGACCGTGATTGGTCATTAAGTCAAAACAATTCACATGAAACCAATCAAACAAACACCTGTTGGATAAAAAATTTCCAAACCACATTCCAAAGGAGCAAAACACAGGAGAAGCAAATGAGATAATATTGTTTTCCTTTTTCTCTGAGGATTCGCAACTTCCCAGGAGAAGAATCCTGGGCAAGGAGGATTTTTCAGAAAATATGACGGTGACAACAGAGGACAGGAACAGGGCCTTGGATACTGTCACCATGGACATGGGGTTGTCACTGTGGCACTACCAACAGCCTGGTCCCAGCCCTGTGCCAGGCTGTGCATGAGCTCAGGGTGGGAATCCAGCTGCTCTCCTTCTCCCCATTGGAGGCTATCCCTGACTGGGCTGCCCCTTCTGTCATGAGCAGGCTCTGGAAGAATTGCCTGGACACTCAAACAGTTCTCCAACCCCAAACATTCCGTTTCCTTGGCACAGCTTTGAGGTGAATTGCCCACTAACCCCTGCCATACCCCATGCAGAACACTCTTTTCTTTGTAACCAGAGGTGTGCGGAGGAGTTTGCAGTGGGATCCCAGCAAGGCTTTGTGGTTCACGTTATCTGAAGGCTGAGAAAAGTTCCTCCAGGCTAAAGCACAAGTGCAAGAGCGGGCAAAGAGCAATCCCTGGAGCTGTGGGAGAAGAGAGTGGGGACAAGGCACAGAGTCAGTGAGCCAAAAGGGCATTTTCTGGTGTAATCAAGCTGCAAAGGCTGACTGCTAAAACATGCCTATCCCACCTACCCCAGCACAGCATCAGTGTAAATGGCACCAGCTCAGCTGGGAGCGAGGTGAGGCCTTCCTTGGGGACAGCATGACAAAGACATGACACCACAGCTGGCCTTTCATGAACCTCATGCAAGACGCAGCAAATCCATTTCACGCAGGTTCTACTGGAAGGAACAGCTGTGTATGGTCACATTGCACCACTCTCAGGAAAAAAATAGGAAAGAAGAGCTATGGGAACAGTAATTCTCCCAAATTTTGGATCGTTGTGCTTTTTATTTCCATGAACATAGCTATGAAGACATAGTAATGCAAATAAAAACATGTAAAATATGACTTTGATTTGACCTTAAGACGATATAGGATAAGGATAATAAATAAAATATTTCTGAAACTAAGGAATAAATCTAGCTCTGGGAATTCTCGGGGAGGGGAACAAGCATTCATAAAAATTCACTCCTCTCTGAGCTGCAGCCCTGAACCTCCCATGCACTAGATGGGAGACACTGATAAATCTAGGAGGCCATATGTGCCAACCAGCTCATATGTTTTCAGTGAGCAATGACAGGGAGCCAAATTGCTTTATTCCGATTAGTGAAGGTCCTCTGACTGCAAAATACACCGTACAAAAAAAAAATAAAAATTGAGTTTTAGTTCGCTGACACATGAATTATTTAAGAGAATTATTACTCTCACATAGAGGCCAAAGCATGTATCTCCCTTCATGTATGTGCAGTAAAAACTAATTGTCAACTTTTATGTAGGGGTGAAAGAGAAGGGAGAGAGGAGTGGGAATGGGACCTGCAGCAGCATGTCCTGACTCTCGTGTGTTATCTCAGTGGCAAAACTGGCATTTTGTTCTATTCCTAAATTCAAACCAAACTCTCTATAAATAGCACCATGACTTGTATCATTTCCAGCTAGAAAGAAGTTTCTAGCAAGCACTTTCATGCAGCTTCTTGGTCATAAAGTCTCCCAGATGGCCAGAGAGACCACTAATGAAATCCACGACTGGACCATCTCCTGCTGCGGCTCAAACCCTGCTCGCCTTCCTCACAGAAGTGATTTGGTAGGGGAGGGAGCCAAGGTGCCTGGGATTTGTGTGGTCAGTCCAGAGCCTCCTCTGGGTGGGTTTGAAGCCCTGTCATGCGCTGGAGCTGATTCAATTATTCCATTTCCTGATTTGCTCCCCTCACCCAGAGGAAGGGGGGCGGCGGCTCCAACGCCGCTCAGACAATGGCCATGGAAATTGATGTTCCTGCAATATCTCCAGGCCTCCAGAGATTCCTATTTTAGCTATTGTACGGAATGCTTCGCTTTCACTGCTTCTCTCCTTCACCTTTGTTTCCCAGCTCCTGCCTTGGCTGGGGCTCTGGCTGCTGCAGGTTTCTTCATTGCATATTCAGGAGATCTACTGGTGCAAAGCAACTCATTTCCAGCACCTGAAATTCGCACCATGGAGGCAGAAATAATCAAATATTTTGAAAAAAACTAGTGAAGCGAAACACTGCACATTAATTATTGTGATAGTTATAGGATAATAACTAATTATTAATTATGATTTCCGGCAATTGCTGCCTTGTATTTAGTTGAAATCTTCAGCTCAGCATTGAAATTTGTACGAGTTCCTCTAATGCAGCATTTTTACAATCAAAATATATAGCATGCTCCCAATTTTTTGCTGGAATGATTTTACTCTGTGATAAAACAGGAACTGGCCTTTCCCAGGATAAGAAAAGAAGAATTTATACAGCTTACAGCTCTGGCACTACCTGTGCCAAAACCAGAAAAGGAAAGAGAAAACAAAATGGGGCTTTTCTAATCTCAGCTTTCTCCTATCCCCAGTTATTTCACCACTTCTCCATTTTCTCACAGCAGACTGATTTGCTTTCAAAATGAAGGCCTAGCTGACAGACAAGTGTAAGAACAAAGGGTTCCGAACAGGAAAAGGGACTTTGGGGAGGCACTGGGCATGGGGAGGAGTGGGGTGGCTGGGACTCCAAAGGAGGGACAGGAGGGATGAGGAGGCTGAGGGAAGGGCAGCCTTGTGCATGGGTAGTGGGCAAATGATAGACAATGACAGAGAAGAGGGATTGAAATTAAAGAGAAACTGAAAAGAAAGGGAATCTGGGGGCAGCTCTTGGAGCAGGAGGTGTCTCATTCCCTTGCCAGAGGGAGGAAATGGAGGGAGGTAGGAGGACCTGACTGCCTGAATGAACATCCAGGCCAAGTGGAGCTCCTCCCCTGCCTGCCAAGGCTGAGCCCTGATCCACAGAGGGCTTGGTTAGATGTCCCCGCTGAAGGGAAATAACATTCAGGAAGAGAGTGTGCAAATTGCTTCAGAAAAAGCCTTGCACCTTTCTGCTGAATTTGAAAAGTGCCCAGTGATGTGGGACTTGTACATGTAGCTCACAGCTGGGGATGCTGAGGGAGCACAAGGGCTCCTCCAGGCCACTCATTCACTCTGCCCTGGTGCCCAGGCCAGCACTTCCTTCTGTGGAGTCATTCTGATGGCATGGGTCCCAAACTGGGGGCAGGTCACTCCAGAGGGCAGGAGTGGAGTTGAAGATGGGGAGAGAAAGGGAGAAGTGCTTGGGAAAAGCTACCAAGTCTTTGTTTTTCCTCCTTGGTCTCCTCGCTCTGGCTGCTGTTGGCTTTGGGGTACTTGGAAGCCAGACTGGGACCTCAGCCTGCAACTAAGGTGAAAGTGTTCCCTCCTTGTGAGGGCTGGCTCACCCTCCTCAGCTGCTGAGCTGAGTGGGGACAAGGACAAGGCTCTTGGAGGCATGCCTGCATCCCATTTCCCCAGTGGAAAGCCCAGCCTTTCTGGCCAGCACAGTGAAGAGAGGGGGCAGCTCTCCCCAGGCCATCCAGGGTGCAGTGCCATGGGCATGTGTCAGTGGAACAGGGAGCTGGGAGGATGAATGGCAGGGCAGGAGCAGGCAGTGAGGCACAGGGTGCAAAACTGACCACTGGGGAGATTTTTGGGACAGCTCTGGTCAGGATAAACACTGACTTTGTTGGACTTTGTGATGCAGCAATAATTCTGCTCGGCACTGGGCAATATGGGTTGTTCCCCATTTGGGTTGTTTCCCCATCCAGAGGAAACTGGAAGGAGCTGGAAGCAGGCAGGTAAGTGTTTGGAATAGACCAAAATGTAATCAGAAATGCATCTGTGGGAGGAAACCAAAGTGCTACAGGATTAAAAAAAAAATAAATTAAAAAATATTAAATGGTTTAGAGCCACTACTTGACATATCTGAAGTGTTCAAGCATTCAGACCTTAATAAGCAGCACTAACAGGAAGGGCAATTTCTTAATGACAGCATTTGCTACACAGACCTTTATCCCTATCAGAGATGCAGAACAGGAGCTGGGCAATCTAATGGAGATTAACTGCTCAAAGGAAATAAAAAACACAACAGTTCCACATGGCACTGGCTGCTGCCTCAGCTCCCTATCCCCTGGCAGCTTCCCAAACACACAAGTTCATACCGTGAATGCTGAATTGGAAAAGCTGGAGGGCAGAGCTCTCGTGGAAACCACAGAGGGAGAGTGTACATGAAGAAAAGGCTTTCTGCATGACAGGATCTAAACTGGAAGGTACTTCTGCTGGGGAAATAGCCCCACATACCAAGACTGAGCCAGGAAAAAATGGCCTTGCTACAGTGTTGTTGATTAAACCTACCGTGATTCAAAGCAGCAGCAATTTGCTACTTAATTGTAACCAGGCACAGAAAGGAAAGAGAAAACAGTAAGGGAGCATTTTCTCACTGCATCTAGCTCTCCTATTTAATATTTCTGTTCATAGTGACTTATTCCACATGCAGAGTGTAGGCATTTATTTAAATAATAGATAGATGCCTATCTCCAGGTACAGAACCAGGCATGCTACAAACTACACAAACAAATTAATGCTAGGCTCGGTGCCCAGATAAGAAGGCTTACCAAAACAAACAAACCAACCCCAAAAGCTCACATCTCAGCAAAAGAAAAGAGTCCCAAAATAACGTAGGAAGTATGAGAGTAAAAAGTTGTTATGCACCTGTCTGGAAATGTGTGATTAGTTGTGTTACATCAGCCAAGGTTTCCTTATGATAAGCACTGTACCTCTCTGTGGTGGGAGATGGTCTGCTGTCCAGCCCTGAGAGAGGAGTCGGTGGCTTAAAGAAATAAGATTTGGCCCAAATTGCATGCAGAGCTAGGAACAACTACAGAATGCTCTCCTCCCAATCCCAGATTCAGGGATCACACACTGCTGAGATTCAATGGTTTGTCTCTTGAAATTCAGCATGGAATATTAAATGCTTACCTGAGCTTCCCTCTCTGAGCTCACACTGTGCCTTCCAAGCTAGGGAAAGGGTATTCAGGGTTGAAATCTGAAATTGTTAAGGACAGGATTGGAAGAAGATGAGTAAAAAACCCTGTAGACGCGATGTCTTATATGAGAAAAGTCAGAAAGCAAGGACAATTCAGTATCTGTCTCATTTGCTTTGGAAGGACACAGCAAAGCAGCAGTCACTCAACAGCCTCAGGCCTGGATAATTAAAACCTTTATATAATGTCAGGTAAGAGCAAACAGTCATTCCATGGTGGTGTGGTTTAACTCCAGATGGCAACTATGCACCACACAGCCAGTTCCTCACTCTCCCCATGCTGGGATGGGGGAGAGAAAGGGTAAAAATGAGAAAACTCAGAAAAACCGTAGGTTGAGATAAATACAGTTTAACAGGTAAAGCAAAAGCCATGAGTGCCAGCAAAGCAGAACAAAGAATTAATTCCCTGCTTCCCATGGGCAGCCATGCCCAGCAGAGCAGGGCTGCATCACGTGTGATGATGACTTGGGGACACAAACACCACCACTCTGAATGTTCCTCCTCCCTTCTTCCTCTTCCCCAGCTCCACATACAGGTCATGATGCCACATGCTCTGGGACATCCCTTGGGGTCAGCTGTCCTGGCCGTGTCCCCTCCCAGCTCCCTGTGCACCCTCAGCCTCCTCATTGGTGGGTTGGGGTGGGCAGCAGAAAAGGCTCCTGTGGCTGTGTGAGCTCAGCAGTGATGAGAACACCCCTGTGTTATCCTCCCCTGATCCAGCTCTAATCCCAAACACAGACCCACATGAGCTACTATGGAAAAAATTCCCTCTGCCCCAGTCAAAACCAGCACGCGTGGCAGACTGAATTCCAAGCCTCCTTCCCACTTGCAGCTCGGGGTTGTGGGTTTTTTTCCTTTTCCAGAGCATCTTGAGCAGATAATCAGAGCGTGCTGACATTCAGCAGTAATCAATTAGCGCCTACTTTAGATTAAATTGAGAATATGTAAATTGGACTCCTCATCAGGCACCACAGTCAACATTGCTGAGACACTCACCATGCTCCGAACATATCAAACAGATGAAATGCAGAAGTTGTTCCAAATCCTTTTCCAAAATAGGAGGCCAGGTGAGCTATATCAACCATTTAAGATTACTGTTATCTTTTTTCGTCATCGTTGTTGTTTTCTTTTGGTTTCGTTTTTTAACTTATTAGCTTCTGTTAAATTAGCCTCTATGATTCTCTTGCCAACCTAACACAAAGCTGACAATTTTATGGAGGTACTTACATATATAATTTGATAAAATGCACCACTTATAAATTAACACAAGGAATCTGACCCTAAAAGGTGCATTACAACATTCTTCCTGCTTATCCTTGTCCACAGTGAAAACACAGCCACCACCAAGTGTCAAGAGCTTGTGCTGGTCCTGGCAATGTTTGGAATAATTCCACTTCAGTTCATGAAAGCACAAAGAGGATAATCCTTGGTGCCATCCCACTCCCAGTGCCAGAGCACTCAACCCTGCTGGTTAGCCAAGGCTCTGCAGGACCAGCCCAGAAGTCACACAGTGCTACAACAGAAAAGGCTCACAGGAGCCACTTGCATCTTCAAACATTGAGCAAGGAGCTTAGGAAGGGTCTCTTAATTTTTCTTATCATGGGGATTTTTTTTCCTGTCTGAGCAGCAAACTTTCTATCAGACCTCATCTTGGGTCAGTGTGTCTGACCTTTCATTGTAAATTAAAAATGTTGATTCTTCATCCCCTCACTTTCCCTGCATCCACCCTCAGCTGATCACATTTGGAGAGAGACAATAACTGGACCTCACTTTTAATGGTTATTGTAGAAGTTGCTCATTAAAAAGAGCATCTAACCTGTGCAAGGATAAAAGAAAGCATGGATGTGTTAAAACACACGTATTTGAGTGAGGTTGGCTTTTAAAAATATACTTTTTACCTCTACGGATCATCATCTTACATAGAAGAGTTTATCTTCTGGCCTCTGAATGCACATGATTGCCATGATTATTGGGGGTTTGCATTTCATTCTGCTTCAACAAAAGCCCTCTGCTTCAGCCTCCTCTTCTCTCGCCTGTGCTATAGGTGAGATCGTTTCTGCAGAGACCACTTTGTCATTTTTGCTCAAACGTATCCCATTTACATAACTCATGAGGCATTAGCAAAACGCCCCCCTCGCACCACGCCGCTCACGCACACATACGTGCGTATAAAGCTGTCACACCGTGCCCACAATAGCATAACAACGTGCAGCAGATAGATTACTCCTGTCCCTCAGTTTGTTTTTGTGATTAGCACGCATGACGCAGACCCAATAGACATTAGCATGTCCGGGAAGCACTCACAATAAATTGCCAGAGCTACTAATAATTTAGATATTTTTATGACTGTTCAGTGCTGGCTAATTTCGCCTAATAAAATCCCATTAAGTTGCTGCCTAGTCCTTTCCCTTCCTCCAAGTCCCCGAACGGGACTTATATGCTAATTGCAACCAGTATATGCTAATTAGACCTCATTTCCATTTCTTAAAGAGATAAGCACTGCCTTGCGCCAACCCATCATTAACGCCTCCCACCTTTGCCGCAACCTTTCCGTCTGGCTCTCGCAGCGGCGCGATAAAGCATCGCTCTGGGCTCCCCGGCAAGGGGGAACGGGGATGTTCTGCTCCTCCGGGCACTGCGGGGAGGGCAGGGGGAGCTGGGGATGCTCTCCTGCCCTCGCCGCCTTCCCGGGAATTCTCGGGAGTCTCGGTGTGGAGCAGAACGCGAGCCGGGGCTGCGGCGGGTTCGGGTCCTGCCCCCGCAGCTCCCGCTCTCCATCACGCCCAGCCCACGCGGGCTCATTAGAGCTCCGGGGATGCAATCAAGAGTTTATCATGCTTGAAGGGGCGGCGAGTCTCCCTGCGCTGCCTAATGCGATTTCGCAGCGCTGAAATGTAGTCGGAATTAGATCCATATTAAAGATGGGTTAGCAGAGAGGGAGCGCAAGCGAGAGGCAAGCCCTGCTCTGGTTTTAGAAACCACAAGGTGTCTTTAAACTGCGGTGCCCTAAGCTTTGCTTTTGGGAGGGTGACCTTCAAATCCCCGCGAGAAGATTCATCAGGAGTTTTCAGGGTGAATACATAAGAATTCAAGCAAATTCCAGGCTGGGTGTTTAGGCCGGCAGCCTTGCTTCGTGGTCTCAGGACCAGAGGCTGAGCTTGTCAGCACTGGAATAAAAGCCCACCAGGGAAGAAATGAATCCATGGCGTAAGGAGGGAAACTCCCAGGTTCCACAGTGTGAAACCAGAGCAGTGCCATCAGCACAGTGCAACTCGGCTGTGAGTTTAGGCGAGTAGCTTATCAGCACATACTTTTCCCTATAAAAAACATTACTTGAAATTACTTAGAAATGCCATTTCCCCTTCTGCCTTTTCCAGAAAGCGAACTGCAACGTTTTACTGTCTGAGAGAGACAATTGCAAAGTCAAAGGATCTGGGAATATTAGCGAAGCCATTGTTTGAAAAAGAAGCAGCCTTGAAACATCATTTGCAAATCTATTCATTATTCTGAAATGCTAAATGCAGTAAGAGCAGGTTTAGCATCTGTCTACTAACCAGCTCCCTGATTATTACCCAGCGGAAGAGGAATGCAGGCAGGCAGAGCTTTGCTCCGGGAAGCCCAAACACTGTGGTGTGAAGTGTTCCCAAAACGTGCAGACCCCTAGAGCCCCCACCCCAGGCAGGGCCTTTTCACATCTTTGTGCTGCCTTTGACAAATGAGGGAGTGTGGCTCTTTATTTTGGTGGGTAAAACGACTCCCCGCTGCCGTCTCCGGGAGCTCAGCGATGTCACGCCAGGGATGAATTCGCCCACGTCCGCCTCAAACTAATGCATTTCTCCCCATAACCAAAATCATTATCCGCCTGATTTCCCCTCCATCTTCCTCATCTCCCCCCATAACACACACACACACACACTCACACTCACACACACTCACACACACCATGTCAGTCACAGCTCGTTGTGTCACAGCCCCGAGCACAACCCGTGCTGTCCCCAGGGGTGTCACACACATACAGATGCAAGCGCACCGCAGGCTGCTTGTTATAAATGATCAAATTGTGAGCCAAAATTATCAAAAAATTTTAAAATATTTATTAATCTATCTGTGTGACCGAATTTTGGTCTCCGAGACCACCACAGCCAAAGGGACAGTGTCGAGCCCGGGATCGGCGCTGGGTGAACCTGGACCCGACCCCCAGAGCGTCAGAGTCTCCCCGTTCACGAATACTGCTTCTTGCAGCAAGGTTTTGTACAGTTTATTGTGCCCGAGGCAAAGATGTCCAAATTTCCTTTGTAACCCTTCACATGCATCGCTGTTCTTTTCAATGCGCAGAGCTGGACAAAGGCTGGTTCCAGGTGCGCAGTCAGCGTTGATGGGCTCCGGGGAAGCCAGGTATTCAGATGTATCAGGGAATATTTGCTGCTGACTATCTTGATAGACACTATCGGGCAGGGTGATAATCGCTCCCAGGTGTTTCCCTATGACTCGGGATACCGGTGACCATCGCCCTGGAAGCTTCTGTTCTTACGTTAAGGTTTCAATCATTATCTTACCTTGTGTCCGGGAATTCGTTGTAATCTGAATAGACAGCTGCTCCCGGCCGGGGTGGTCAGACATAGTTTTGGATTTTTACAATATTTTATACCATACATTAATAGCATGAATTATCCCTACCATATATTACAGTGCCGGAGCTCTCAGCCCGGGACAAAAGGGGCAGAACCCCTCGGTGGCGGTGCCAGGGTGACCCTCCGGAGGTGACACCGATCCGCAGGGTGGGGACGATGCCTAGCATCAGACAGTGGCCGCTCCCAGATCCGGGTGACCCTGGCGGTCCCAGCTGCTCTCCGGTGTCACAGAGGAGTCAGTGACAGCAGTGACAGCGGCACGGCGATGCTCGTGTGAGATGGAAGAAGAGGGAAAGGGCATGTGAGGAGAAAATCCATCAGTATGTAGAAACCATCGCAGAGGCTACTTTCTTTCAGTAAAATTAAATGGACTGGAGGGGGGCTCCCGCGGAGCTGATCTTTTTATTGCTTGCACATCTCTCTTTATACCTCTCCCTTCTGCTATTACTGATTATTTAACTCTGTAACTGCACTTTAACTTTAGAAAGAGCTCCAGGATACAGTCGGTTTGAAGGAGGCCATACAAAATAAAATTTTATATTTTATTGCATTGTATTGTTCAGCATTTTAAAGAGGTAAATTAATCACTAAACTGCTGTTCTGTGCTTTAAACTACCAGCTGTTCAGTGCTCTGAAATACAAGATTTATCCTTCAGGATTTTTTTTTTTAAATCATTTTTTTCCACCTTTCATATAAAGACTTTATAGGGAAATAAGAACATGCTGGGGAGCGGAGGAGGGGATTAAGAGACAAAGAATCACACTGTGCTTTGGTCTTCATCCCACATCAGATGACTTGGTGACAGCCCTTCCTCTGTGGGCTTTACAGCTTAATTACCTGGATTGTGGGCTTTCCCATTTCCACTCCTTCCAATCACCCTCAGACTTTATTAGTATTTAGAGCATCTTGCTCAGTCTGTTGGGTTTTCTCTTCACCTTGGCAGCTGTAGTGTTAAACACACACAAAGGCCTCTGCTAAGCCCTCATCACTGTGATCTGTGCTTAAATCAAACAACACAAAGTCTGACCACAGCAGGGACCTTTTTTCATTACAGGTAGAAGTGAGGCAATAAAAAGAAATGTGGGGGAGGGGAGCATGTGTGTGTGTGTTTGCAAATGCCCTCCAAGGTGTCTACAGGCCCCCTCCCTTTAAGGGAGTGTGCAGGGCTGATGAATGGGGAAAAGGGAGGATGGTGAAGTAGTTATTCTGTGCCTTCAAATTCCCATCTTTTCCTTCATCTTTTCTGAATCAGTTCCCTGCAATTTCCATTGAAGCACAGTTTTGAGCCCTGGGTTAAGCAGCACCAGCCATCCCTTCCCTTTCTTCACACTTGGTTGGTGGCAGCTCACCTGCAGCATCCTCAGAGCATCCTCACCCTGCCCAGGAACATGGGAGCTCAGAGATTTTCCTGGGAAAGGTGGCTGCTGCCAACCCATCCACATGGGGTGTCAAGGCCTGAGCTACAGCACAAGCTGTGCCTGGGCTCTCCATTCTCCACACAGAGCACAGGACAAACAAACCCGGAATCCTCTTTGCAACCCCAGCATTGCTTCTTCAGCCAGTTTCTGCCTACACCAGTTTCTCTCTTATTTCTTTCTGTGTTACACTGCGGAGAACAACTTCTGCAGAGAGTGGGGCACGAAAAGTGCAAGGTCAGGATGGAAAGTCTTTATGCAAGTTCTAGAGCAAGGCTGAACATTTGGCTACATAACAAAGATAGACACATGTGCAGTCACAGCCCGTACCCTATGTGACAGCTGAGAATGGAATGCCTGCAACATGTTTGGTAGCCAGAGCAAATACAGGAGATTAAAGTCTCTTGGTAGCACCATGAAACAGGTTTTCTGAGCATGTTTGGCAGTCAGTCCAGGTTTATCGCTCAGACACAAGTGAAAAGCCCCAACTCTCAGCCACTGCCTTTTGAATCTCATCTTACCCAGAGCTGCTGTTGTCTTCCTTTCCATCCAGCCAGAAGTGGTGACTGAGCCCAGAGCCTGAGTGACCCTTGCTGAGCATCCTGAGGGCAACAACACCTCCCACCACCATTCCTCAAAGCATCCTGGGGCCAAAACTAGGGATGCCCTCTTCTTTTTTGGCATCTGCCAAACACCCTTCTCCATACACATGGGGAAGGTCAGGTTGGGTGGGGAACTGAGCAGCTTGATGTGTGTGTGGCACCCCTGCCCATGGAGGGTGGGAATGGGGCTGGAACCAGATCATCTTTAAGGTCTCTTCCAAACTATTCCATGATTCCATTATTCCTTGATACATATCCTCAAAAAAATTCACATGTTATTTTATTTATGCCTGAATAGCATGGTTCTAGTCATCTGCTCAACTTTTTATGTAGTTGGACCCAAACCTGCCATTTCCCCCCTTTCTGTTGCACTAAAAGGGCTCACAGTCTTCACTTTTGAGTGGTACTTGACCATGCAGCAATGTCAGTGCTATAAATCTCATTAAAACACACTAATTGAGAATGGGAGCACAGTTTGTCACAAGCAGCATGGTAGGTCAGCAGACAGGCACAGATGATGGATCCAACAAAAGGACCATGGACCCAGCTGAAGGAAATACATCTTTCTCCAGGAAAATTGCTCTCTCGGTTTTCACTATTACATGCCCAGACATTTTCAGGTTAAAAAGAGGAGAATTTGTGTGCAGTGCAAATCATCATTTCACATCTACCTAAAACCAAGGCAGAGGAGAAAGAAAAGACATAATTAAACCTAAGCTATTCAGGAAGAATTTTATTTCCTTTAGACTGGGTGATCACAGACCCTGTTTTTTTTCTTGGGAGAGCCCAGATCATCCCAAAGAAAATCCTTGTTTTGTTCATTTGCCCTGGACATTAATCAAGGCAAAAAAAGCTCCTCCTTTTCCAAGGGTGTTACAGAGAGGGGCTGTGGCTCCTTACCCCCAGGTTAGCAAATTTATTACAACTTGAGCTAAAATGGGTGTTGAGAAAAAGGAGGAAGTATTGCAATGACCCCTGCTTCTCCAATCCACTGATTTGAGGGAATTGAGCACAGCACCTGTGCCTACCACATTCCCTAAAATACTCCCAAACCCCTGGGCCCTCTCTGTCACAAGCACCATGAAGGGCACAGACCCAAC